ACATAAAATAAAAATTAGGTAAAGTATGATATCGTTTTATTGTTGTCCCTAATAATTAGAATAACTAAGGGGTCTAGCACAAAGCCGGGGACCCCAGCAGTGATATATTTACTTTCAGAATAGAAGGAACTAACAAAGCCCTTTTCATTTAGATTACTTAGATAATTATTAATACATTTTAGAATCTGACCATTAATTCCGTATTGTTTTAATTTGAATATTAGTCCTTCGTGCTATACTCTATCGAAGGCTTTTGAAATATCACAAAAAACATACATGTTGGGATTTTACTATTAAAAGAATAACAAATTTGATGGTAGATGTCCAGTTATTGATACACAGTCGAATGCTCTAGCAAAAATCCAGACTGATTTTCGTAAATTTATTTATTTGCGTGTAAATGGTTATAGATGTGTTAAACATAACTCTTTCCATATTTTTTCCAGTACAACTAATTAATGTAATCGGTCTATTGTTCGAAGGGATATTTTTATTACCTTTTTTAAAAAGCGGCTTGACAACAGCTGATTTCCAAGAGGCCGGATATATACCTTCAGACAGTGAACGGTTTAATAGAATATTAAGAGGCTTGCAAATAGAGGTTTACATTCTTTTAGCATACGATGACTTACTTCATCTGGGCCTGATGACTTATTAATTACAAGGGATGATAATATATCTCAAAAATTTGAAAAGATTGTAAGACATTATTCGTTTTAGTAATAAAGTTTGGAAGACTTGCATTAGCGGCCTCAATTGTTGATATAGAAACAACATAATCATTCAAACATAGCTTTTTCAGTATCGGAAGAATAGATAAAATCATTTCCATTAATTTCATTATTTAAGGGGGGTATAAGTAAAAACTTTCATTAATGCTTTATACGGATAGCTACAATATCGAGTTTTCTTAAGCAACCTCTGAGTGCTGTTATAAAAATACCGATCTCCGCGCGGTAAGCACTTAAATCATTCATTACCTAAACGGATACAGGCTTAATACTAGTAAGATTCTTTGTTCATAGATTCTTAGGGTAACTAGTTTTATGGGGCGTTTCTTTACACGCGAGCAACTGGGCCGACGATGAGCCCGGGGCGGTACCTATATAGGTCGGAGTCGTTTTTGCCTAGAAATGACGAAGACAGTATTTTAATTAATAACAAATTTATTACGTCCAAAGTATCGCATAAGAATGATGCATGTATTATTACAAATAATTTTAACACAAAAGTTTATAATGCATATCAATTAATACATAATGATAATGTCAAGTTACATGTATCTTATACCATGTTAACAGATCCTACTAACCTCCTACAAATGTAAACTTAAACATACTGTAACATAATGCCTTGTATCGAAAATGAAATTAAAAGACCATTACTTTACTACTAAAACTCTAAAGCATGACAATTTTGTTTGTTTTATGCCAGATATAAATACCAGATACAGATACCACCATTATTAAATAAATAAAATCAACTAACTTTAGATATGCAATGCACAGTCAGAATTTTAATGACGTTGAAAACTTTTAATAGATAGATGGTCCCTTTTTACAGCCTAAAAGATTCCGACAGCACATGAGGACAGACAGTTGTGTTCATTCTGAAACCACAAGACCAATAATCTGAATTTCTTTTTCACAACTCTGTACCACTTTAAAGATAGTGCAAGACCCATCAAATTGTTTTTCAGCTCGTTCAATAAATCCATTATTGAACCTATATTCATCTGTTAAATAATAATATCATTTTTAAACTTATCTATTTTGGCATATGAAATCAAATTTTCCTTCCATTTGGTAATTTTCACAAAATTTGTTTTCACATAAAAAAGACAATTTAACTTAAGCTAGTCTTTTATATCACGGATCGTAATTATAGATCACTGTCAATGATAAATAATTCGAACATGGATTTTTACCTCGTTGGGTTTGAAATCAATAGTTCTCTCATTGATTTTAAATCACCCCCTTTATGTGTCAGTTTACCAAAGTTGCCTTGGTGCGTCGTTAAACAAAACAAAACAAACACACAAAACAAAACAAGTTGAAACTTTGCGTAAGTGAAAAAGTAAAAAGAATTGAAGAAATATTTTGTTATTGAAAACAGATATACTTTTTGAAAAAAGTTGAATTTCAAACCTGATACTTAAATTAATCAACATTGAAAGGTAATGTTTATCAATCATTAAATTTTTTATTGTAGTTAAATTTGTTTTAAAATGTTTTATATATTTATTTCATATTTTGCATAATAATTCGTTCTGAGGCATTTCGGACTTTTATTACAGTCATTAGGTTTTCTATTATAGTCATAAGGTTTTTAACATTTATTTATATGATCATTTTTATTTTTTTTTGTTTATTGTTCCGTATTGTACTGTACCATGAAAATTGCTTGAACCACGACAGCAACGATTTATGCCTTTGTCTCAAGAGAAGAACCCGTCCAGCCAGCACATTTTTGTAGTCAGATCAGGTTATATACTACAGCTGCTGGCTAAGTGTTTATCTTTAAATGCCAAAATTTATAATAGATGGTTCCGCTGTTTGGGCTTCTGCTTGTATCTCCCATCTCCCTTGGGTATCTTTTCGACTGAACCCGACATTTAAAAAAAAATAGTCCCTATATAAATACTGAAAGACCCCGTTTTGTTTTTGTTTTTCGATGGATAATTCAATTTCAGTATCAGTTTTAATAATATGCGATATAAAAACTTACTTTCAAAACAATCAGCATTGTCAAAAATGTAGTATTGATGTTGTATTCAGATTGAATAATTTGCTGATTATATAAAATACTAGTAATGTATTCTAGAACACTTACAATTTGAAACATATCACAGTGCAGGCTTTTAATAACATTTGTTCTCTTTGATAATACAAAATACCTCTTTACAGTAAACGAATTTTCATTGCACAACTTGCACACCAAAATAATAATTTCAATCTCTTTAACGTCATCAATAAATATGATATAGACTTCACATCATCTTAACTTTTCACCGATCAATCTAGTGTCTGTGTCACGTTATCTGAAAATGTATTTCTTAAGTCAAGCTAACTTCATGTGGGTGTGTTCCAAAAGTATTGTCTCAGAGTTTAAAACTCGTTCTTATGAGCAATGCAACAACTTAAATCATTATACATATGAACAATTGTATTATAAAAGATCAACAAACTTAAGTATATTAACTCTTTGTAATTCCCATGTACAATTATAGATAATTGGGTTAAAGTCAGGTATCACATGAGACCTGTTATGCAGTTGCGACCGCAAAATGCAAGTGACGTAAATATATATCATAATGTAATATATTGATATATTTTTATAGTCCATGATAATCATAAATCTTAAGATATTTTGCAGCGTTTCTCATAGTTTTAAAATATGATTAGCATCTACTACGTACATATTATGCATTAACTTAATAATTTATTTGCTGATGGTGATTTATTTGTTGTTCAACATGTTTAAGCAACAACCACCGACACAAAAACTATTTAGCTCCGACAACGGAAAGTGTTTTAAAGTGTCACTGCGAACTCTTTTAGTCCTTAGTGGTCTTACACCCGGTTTAAAGGTCGTTGACTTCTAACCACTTACCCCTCACCGCTGTGGGTTCGAATCCCGAAATGTACGGGGTCTTTGGATTCTTTCATGTGAGGATTCAGTTAGCTTACAGAGCGCCGGTGGTTCAACTTAGGTGCCCGTTCGTGTCTGAAATAATGTACGGAAGGGCACCTGAGGATTTCCTCCACCAGTAATGCTGGAACGTCACCACATGACCTACACTGTGTTGATGTGAGGTAAAACCAAGTCAAACAAACAAACACCCGGTTTTCATCTCATTAAACGGTAGGCCTTAAATCATATCAAATTAAAAAAATTAATCACGTGTCATCACAGCTTGCATATTTTTCATTTTAAAAATGTAGCAACTATTTGCAACAACAACCATCACATTATCGCACGTTATACCGTCTCAAAATAATGTCATCCATACTCAATACACAGCCTGTGCTGCATAAACCACTTCTGGAATACATCATCCAACACTAAGTTGTTAGTCAAGATTATATGCATTAGGTCTTGGTCTTCAATTCATGAAGTGAAATTTAACATTGGACCCATGTGATCTCTCTTTGATACAAATACTTAATATAACTGAAACTGTATTGTAAAACAAACTGAAGCCATGGATTAATGTAATCGAGGCAGTTTTAAAACACTTTCGGATAATTCTTCTATGTATGTTTTCGTTAAAATTGTATATCTTGAACTTTTATCTTGAAATAAAACTACATATACTGCTAAAATGATTTTAACCTATGATAGATAACATGTGTTCAGATAATGCAAGACCAAAGATGATACAGAATATTTGCCTTGACATCTTAATGCTGTGATTGTCATTAACGTTACGTTCCATTTTAATTTGTATAGGCTAATGATGGCAAGCAAATACTATCCACAACAGAAATATTCAGGCAACTTAAACAACGATGGTAAGAATTTCACCACAGATGAAACAAATCAAATCCTTGACGAAGTAAACCAAATTTATAATGAACCTTCAGATAAAGAATTTTGTCTTCCCTCTGCTCAAAAAGGCAATTATGAGAAAGAATTAGAGGAGGAAATACAAAAACTAGATGATGAAGAACAAAGAAGCTGTGCAAGTTGTTCGACACATACCAGAATAACGAGTACAACAATGTTTAAAGCCGGACAACATATTGCTAAACCTGGAGATTATTTAAAAAAATATATTGAAGTTTTCAGGAAGTAGGTATCCCCATATGATCACCACATGATTGTGAAATGTGTTGAAAGTGTTTCAGAGAATAGAGCTAAACTGAAGTTAATTCATTTCAAGAAATCAGACGAGAAAGAAATCAAGATAACTGAATCAACAGAAACCTTTGATTTAAGATACGACGAAGTATACCTTGTTGAATATCGTTTTCCTCTATATTCTCCCAATGAAATTATTAAACGAGCCGAATCAATGCTGCCTAAAGAATGTTCGGAAGACGCCAAATTTAAAAAATATAACTTGCTTACTGGAAATTGCGAACATTTTGCAGTATGGTGCGTAACTGGTCGTAAAGAAAGTATCCAGATTCAGGGTTTGTTCGAAAAAATTAAAGATGGGGCAACATATATTTTCGGACCTACCAGTGCAGTTTCAAAAGGGGTGCAAAAGATTATTCTGAATAGTGTAGATGAAATTGCGGCTGAATTAAAGAAAGCTGTTCCAAGTATTGTTGTTTCTGGGATAGCTGCTGTGTACCTTATTTATTGCGTCATTATGACAGCTGTCAATATCAAATATTATACGGTAGACAAAACGCTTTGTTGGTCTTGTCTAAAGAAGAAGTTGCTAAAATTATGGCTGTCGCTCGTGGTATTTGGAATCACTTCTGGGATTCAACTTATAATTTATACTTTTGCCTTACCATTGATTTCAAGTCCATTAAGAATTCCATTTATGATACTTATTATACTTTTATCTGTCGGACTCCAAATGTCAGTACCTTCACTTATACGCCCTTTACAATCTCCAATATTTGGACATGATATATTCCTGAAAAGTACTGATGAAATAAATGTGGGCGATTTACTGGAGTTGAAGTATTTCAAACTTCCTCACATTATACTTGTGACAGAAGTTCACAGCGAGAAAGTGAGGGCTATCCATTATGCAGCACCGAGCCATCCCTTTGCAAGACGAATAGTTAAGGAAGAGTATTTCAGCATCAACAGTTCTAGTGTCAAAAAGAAATATATGCTGTCAAAATGTTATCCACCCAATGTCGTTGTTGAACGCGCTCGAAAAAGGCTCGGAGAGACAAAATTCAACATGTGGTCAAATAGATCATCTCATCTCTGTAACTGGGCAAAAGTTGATCTACGAGCTGAGTCTGTTTCAGGTGTAGATGATCATTCACTCGACAGACCAAAGTCAAACAACAAAAGCTCATTGAAAGTTTGCAACAGAGAAGTTCACTTGGTAGATGAACTTGAAGAGGGAGACGTAGTGATACTTGACAAGATAAACATGCTTCCATTTTGGGTTTCAGACAAGTTTCCATTTATGTCCCCATTTATGGTTCCATTTATACTTATGAATACATATGTTCAGGGAATTGTTTTGGATATAAAGGGCAATAGAGAGGAAAGCATTACTCTTGAACTCTTGATTCACATAGGTGTACAAGTGTGCAGGGTACGGGTTCATATTGATCTTAAAACGGAACGACTTTTTGTATGTAAATATTTGGAGGGACATTGTAAATCCATGAGAGACAGAGTCACAGCGGCGTTAGAAATGGCAAACAAATGGCAAATATTCTTTACAAACAAAGCATTTGTCGAGGCTTGTGTCATGCGTCACCCGGAATAAATTTACGACTTTCTCAGAAATTGAACATTGAAATAGATTATATAAAATCATCTTTCTAATTTAATCAGACACAGGACAATTAAAAAATTCTAGAAAATAGAAATGATTTAATCTTTTATATATTTTAGATTGATCAAACAAGGAATAAATGACAATCCAATTGTCATACATGTTAAACTACAATGAACGCAAGTTATATCTGTTACAGCGTTTTCAATTTCCTGAGATTTTTCACGAAAAAACAGTGATCTAAGACAGCAATTATTAATACTAATATCAGTTTATACTATAATTATTGTAAAAACAGCCTCGTGTGTTTTCATTCAAAATAAGAAAAAAAACGTACTACCTTTCGTAAAGACATAGAATGTAAGTCGGATGATAATGTTTCCATTTAAAATGCGTTTGCCACTTTAATTAATCATCTGTAAGCCAACGTCAGACGACGCTGGCTATTTCCAAGACAACAAAAAACAAGGATTTTGTAGGGAAACAGAGAAGGAAGACGCAATGATATTTCACATGTCTAATGAGAGAGGATTATTTTCTGAATATCACGTGTAATATAGTAAAAGACTGTTTTATTGTACGACAAGAGAAAATGATAACTACTTCTCGCAAACGTAGAATAAAATCATAGCAGCAAATATATTATTAACATTTTTTCACGTATAACAGATAATAATAGAGTTTTAATTATTAAATGTGTTTGATTTAATGAGTATATGTAACCTTACATATTTTTGGAAATTAAACCATTTAAGCAATGCATGATATATATATATATATTTAAATCATAGTTAGATAATGATTTTATTTATAAATGTTTTCACCTTTATTCATTGAAAAGATAATCATGTACTTGGTTAGTCAGTGTGACTACGGAAGCTCCTCGAATATGACAAAAGAGTCGTTCACTTCAGAATGGGAACCTGAAAAAGGAGGATATAATGGTAATGAATATGTTAATTTATCATTTATATCATGGGCTATAGAGAAATACAGGTTGCAGTAACATTATTGTAAATATAAAATTTAATTATTTATTAAATGACAGGAGGAATTGAAAAATGTTTCTCATATAGTTTAAATAAATAAATAAAAAAGGAACAAAATGTATCATGTTTTAACGTTTTATTGATATAAGAATTTTATTTACCGTTATTGTGTTTTTCATGTAATAAATATATAATAAAAAACTAATATACGTTCTCATTGATGGAAGCTAATCATTCATGGTATTATTATCCGAGTGTATTGTCAACTGCGCTGAAACTAAAGCTCTTGTGTTCCAGTGCCTGTATTGCCATTTTTGTTTTTCATTATTTTCCTTTTTTTAGAATATCTTAGTGGTCCTTATGAGATAGAAAAAAAATGTTAAATCTTATTGTATAAATATTTTAGTCATTTATAGGCTCAATTCTATTAACAATTATTGAATCTGATATTTTCAAAGCGTATTTATATAAAAACTGGACGGTCAAAGTACTTTTTAATTTACAAGATCAACAAAACTTCGGACTGCTCCTGAATTTTGTAGAACGAAGCCAAGAATAGTCAGTCACGCACTCACAATTGGCGATATTGGGTAACATTTTTGATTGATACATATTTCAACCACTCTGACAAGGAACAATCATATAGCACAGTTCAGTTCAGTTTATTAAGCAAATCGGCAGAATAGCATGCCTTTGGTTAATTAAACATTTACAAAGTGAATAATATGACCAAGTCAACATAAACAGATATACAGATGATGCTGCATATTAAAGACGCCGGGAAATGACGTGAACAGTCACAGGTAAGGTACAAAACCAGCCTTGACATATGTTCTCCATTACGGTCGAATATCCGAATCACTGATCATTCGCTAATCTTCATTTTTGGTATATGCTCGTTATTCAATAATAAAGCTGCATATTTTATTGAAAATGGTTGGTATACTTAAAAATGATTAAAGACAAAGACAGAGGTAACAACAAACAAACATATTTTATTTTAATTTATACTAAAAAAACAAGTTTCAAAGAAATTTTATCAAAATTAACTCTTTTTCCCTACTGGTAGCCAAATTTTTAGTCGAAGTACAAGAAGTCTTTAGCTGAAAAATAAGATCGACAAACAACGTTCAAAATCACAGTGGCAAGTAAATCATGTTTGGACCACCCACCCCTACTGCCCTGGGAACCCATACATACAACCCGAAAAAAATAAATAATCACACTTTTAAACTTACTATAAGTACCAAAAAAATACCACCGATAAATTATTATATAAAAAATTTTTCCATATGCTCAAAATAAGTATATGAAAGGTGAAAAGCCACTATATTTCATCTTGCCAAACAATGTGAACACGGTAAAACGTCGTTTCGGCGACTGGGGCGCATTCCGGCGGGAATTTGCTGCATCATTTCATTTAACATCAATAATAAAGAACTTGATTCCACATGCTTATCTAATTCAAGTCATACGATATCACTTCATTCCGATTTTTTGTTCCGCGTATTTAAATGTCGCGCCATTTTTGCAGTACCTACCGGTTGAAATATAGCGACTGATTTCGGACGAGCCAAATTGGACGTCAGCAGATCGAAGCATAAAACACAGGTATAAACCCAACATGGCAACGACAATCAAAAATTACCGTGAAATAGGAAAAAAATCTTATAGAATATTGATATTCGTTAGACTTGAATAAGTAAGCTGTGGGAATTCAGGTTCTTTTTATTGTATTGTTTTATGTTTTATTCATGCAGCTATAAATTGCCGTTTCGTAATGCTTGCCTTCAGTTCGCCGGAATTATCGACTTGAGTTTTTTCCCGTTGTTCCACATGTTTCAAAATGAACATATAAGTAAGGTTAAGCTATAATTCATAGTGGAAACTTTTTTTTATATAATACCCATTTCATCGTGTTTCGTCTTTTTCGTACCTCTATACGTAAGTCCTAAAGTGGAATATTTAAATTTGTTCAGGTTGTAGTAGCGTGTCCAGGGGAGATAGGTCGGGGTGGTCCAAACACGATACTACCACTGTGCGTTAAATGGCGATAAAATTATTTATTTTATTCAAAAACACACAAACAATTCTAGGAGACGGAAAAGTCAAACCATCCCACCTAAATTCTGCTCCTTATGGCGAATCTATATTGGACAAGGCTTTGTTTAATATAAGCTGTCGTCATTTTAAAAAGTTAGCCAGTCAAGACTGTTTAAAGAAAACGAGTTTGGGAATCAAGAAAAAAGTCACATATTACAGGGAATCTAGATCTCTTAAAACAGTCTTCCTTACCAGTCATTGGTTTATAAATAAACATATACATGTATAGCCAAGTAGTGATTTATTCCTATGAAATATGTACATGTTATGTATGCCCTTTTAGGATAAGAGAGAAAATTAATTAAATATACTATTTCTGAAATTGCATTGTAAAAAGATAAAAATAAAATACATTACAATGTAGAAAATTTACCGAAGTACGTAGAGTTCTTGTTGTTTAGAGGATACAATCATTATCATTCCCACGTTCACTTTTTACTGGGGCATGGCACGTTGCTAGGCCCATTTATTAGTGACATAAGAACTTAACAGGCTCCATACAAGGACAGGAGGATACAATTGGACATCTGCAACTCAACAGAATCATCAATCTTTCATCTACAAAAACTAATCAATACGTTCGCCTGAATTTGTTTACTTGTGCTTAAACGCCTATTGCTGTGACATTGTTACATTAGGACATAGTATAGTCAAGTAAATTCATTGGATGAGTGAACGGTTTCCAATGCTTTTTTAAAAAAATTTGTAATATCAGACGAGGTTGCAAGTTAACGTAATGTGAATGAATCAAGTGGATGTTTTTCCCTGACAGTTTTTCATTCGATTTATGTAATATTTAAGAGCGGAGGGTAAATTTTAAGACTACTAAAGCCCTACACATAACAAACGTTACCTTGTTTATGTAACATTACAAATAAGGGGAGCGTACAAAGTCGTTACAAGCAGCTAAGAGGCGAATTGGAGGTCGATTAACAGTCATTTTGGTGCCTCGTGAGACTGGGAGTCCCCATTAGCAGACTAATTTATAGCATTGCTCGGGGGACTAAAAGCGCCGCATATGATAGGGGAGTCCGTTTAATTAAGCTGGTCGTTATGCAGTAAATCGATTATATTTTCACGGGAGAAAATAATGTGTTTGATTCAAAGATGGGATTCATTGGATTGTTATAATACACATATTAAAGAAAGGAAAACTTATTTAATGGAATGTTTCATGAAACTTAAATAATTGCGACATCTTATTGTTATCCACATTCAAAAAGCGGCTAGAAATTAGGAAAACATGGAATTGTTGAAAGGCTCTGTCTCATATGGTACGCCATCGCGCACCTGCTGAATGCTCTCCACTCGGACCATTTTTTTGCAGAGAAATCCGTCGAATCGAAGTAAAATACAATTTCATTATGTAGAATAGTAAGAGTATTAGAGAATCATGTAGCGCACCAAAGAATGGCTATTGTACTTGAGATAATAGTCAAAAAAGTTTATAGATTTATTGCCTGGTTTAGGCCTGAAAAAAGGGATAAGTGTTTTTTGTCGGGGTTTTTTTCTGAATGCTCCCACTCGGACTTTTCGCAAAATGTTTACGAAATAAGGTTGAAAACCTTCTTGAAAATTATTTTCAAAGTACCGGAGCATTAACCGAGTCATGTTTACACATTTTTCTAAATTGGTTTCAAATATTTCTAATCAAAACGTATTGTTTAATTATTTTTAAAAGATTAAACAATTTTATTAAACACAGGATTGCATATTTGTTTACAATTAACTCATAAGCACTTGATGGCAAAATTTTATTTTGATCTTCCACCCGTTGTGACCGACTATTCGCAATGGATTTTATTAACTTATTTATAACACAAACACTTAAATGCCATTTGTTTTAGTTGGTTTGTAGGGATCAACGCTGGTTTCCTGGTAGCTAGACGAGATTGACCCCTATAGCTTTCAGTTTACTGCAAACTTGAGTTGCAAGCACTAACACCATCTGCTTCCCAAAATCTTCTTAGCCCAAGTTGGCATGTCCGCCCGTTCGCTTTTTATGTCCGGAATATAAGTTTGAAACAACAAGAGGTATCAACATGACACTTTGTAAGTAGATAGATCTCATTGAGTACGTGTGCAGTGCACGAGAACTGTAACTCTGTCTTGCCTAATTTTTGAAAAATTGCCTTTTGTTTATTTTTTGTCCGGGACATAACTCTAAACCTATAAGAGGTATTAACATGAAACTTCGTAGGTAGATAGATTTCATTGAGTGGGTATGCAGTGCACAAGAACCGTAACTCTGCCTTGCCTTATACTTGAATTATTGCCCTTTGTTTATTTTTACACTTTGAACTTTGTCAGGGACATAGGACTTTTGTCTAAAACTGTAAGAGGCATCAACATGAAACTTTGCAGATAGATAGATCTCATTGAGAATTTAACTTTATAGATCTTGCTACCTTTTTTATATTCAAATACAGTGCGGTAAATGGAAATAAAGGTCTCTCAGCTAAGATACAACAAATAATAGCCCGTCAAGAGAACTCAGGAACACACTAACTAACTAACTAACTAACTAACTAACTAACTAACTAACTACTAAATAACTAACTAATAATCATACTTTAAATTAATTTACATGCAGTAAAATAAACCATTTATTATGGTAGAAAATCATTGAAGAGTAGGCATGACGTCTTTTAGAGAGTATCATGAATAAAGTAACATTTTATATGAACAAAAAAGTTTTACTCTTTCCTAGTTACTGTAGCACAAAAGCGCTGAAAACTGTTTCCTTGAACGGCTTTCAGCGTTATTAGTTCTTGCTGATGAATGGCTGTCGTTGTTATCATTAAAAAGAGGCGAACGTTACTAAAATTTTGATGACACTCACATTTAAATACCCTATAACTTTAAACATAAAAGCATTTTTGTAGGTATGGTTTTGAATATTTAATGACGAAATGTTTACGTTTAAGAATCGTGTGATAAAAGGATTTTTATTATTTTGAGAAAATATAAGTTTTTGTGACTTAAAAAGAAAAATGCCGCATATCATCGGCTAGTGACGTTATTTTCTGTCAAAATTCACGTCCAGTAAAGCTTGCACAGGGCCTAAACTTTGTTAGCATGCTCCCTTGGATGTTGACTATGAATCCATAACATTTATTTACTCGAACACGGTTGGGATATGTTAAAAATAGATAAATACTTACGTCCGTCAATTGTGTATGTATATACTGGTACAGCTGTCGACATTTGAACTGCTGTCTGCTCATTTGATTGTACGGTATGATGTTATAGTAATCGACACACTATAGAATGGACAGCGGCAGCCGGAAAATATAGCAATCTTTAAACAGAAGCTTCAGAGCAATTACGTCACGTTGAGAGAATCATCGTTCACTCAAGTTACTATTACGTCACAACAGTAAATGATATAGCCCTGGTTAAAGTGGACACGCCTTTTATCCTGAATAGTGACGTCAGTACCGTCTGTCTACCGGACAGAGAACCTCAAGCTGGACAGTACGGATTTGTTACGGGATGGGGAGAGGTTTTAGGTAGGCAATTTATTTAATTTCAGAAAAAAAAAGAAATTTGATAAAACATATTACAATTACAAAACCGGAAAATCAGCTACGCAAGTTTTTTTATAATTGCTTAAATAGATTACATTTAATGTGTATCATCAAATCGATAAATGACATGTGGTTTTAAGACGGGATCCACCGAGGCCCAAAGGTCTAAAAACATAATTATTAAAGTTTGAAATTCTTTCATTTATCAACTAGAGGGTGGGCCGTAAAAAAATATGTAAAAGATAAAAAAGAAATTAACTTGGAATCAAATTGAAAATAGATAACCAGTGCATTTTTATGCCCATTTCTAGTTAAAGGGTATAAAGCTATTATCAATGATATATTTTTATAAAGTTTATAGACAGTAACATTATATTGTTTGCACGGTAATCACGTATTTCAATTCCATTCAAACTATACTGTTAGTAAACCTCTAAATGCCTTTCATGGGAGGGTCTGTGGACTACTAGTGCTTAAGGTGGGTGCCTCTCAAACCAGGGATCATGGGTTCGAGCCCTACTCAGGTCACAATCATGTTTCCTTAAATGACACCAGGTCTAGTTAATTCCAGGAAGCGGACTCGAAAGTGATAAATATAAGTTGCAAGAACTTGTTTCGTAATCGAGCTAAAATAAATATGTTTATATGTTTAATAATGCCTTTCCTGTCTTTAAGGAAATTTTATGTAAGCGAAACTGGATTGCCGAATGGTATATTCTCCAATCGAGCATTCCTACAATGTATATAACTGCTTTAAAAGAACATCATTTTGAAACAGTGTCGAATTACACTCACTTAGACGATATTGTCTTAACGAGCAAGACGCAAACAAAAGTATTGCCTGAAAATATTAAAATAAAACAAATATCTCATATATGGAATCAAAAGACTGGTTAATTGAAAACTGAAAGTAAATGGGAAACCTTACTTCATTGTACTTAATATGGAGTTACCATGGAGTAAAATATGGTGCCACGTTTATGATTATTTTTCTTCATGCAAAGCTGTACAATTTCAGTGGAATTTTTTTACACAATTTTATTTATACAGAACACAAGCTGTCTCTTATGAATTTATTTGACGGTAAATGTTGTATATGTAAATCTCACAGAAAAAAAAATTTGTTTCATCTCTTCTGGGAATTTGATTTTTCAAAGAATGTTTGGACATATGTAATTCAAAAATTTAAGTCCGCTAAAATCTTGTAAAATGATTTTTCAAATTTTCAATCTACTGCACTTTTTGGATCTTTTGAATACGCAATTAATGTAGAAATAAAGACGATTCAGTGACAGAATTTTTAAAATATTTGTAATTTGTATGAATATTACCTTTAATGTATGGAAGGTAACTCAAATGAAATTATAGATTTAATTCATAAAGAGTTAACTTGTCATTTTTCGTTTTTTCGGACAAGTAAATGATACCTTTGCGAAATGTATATTTTTCACATTATCTGTACTGCTTCTTATTTTGTAAGAAATCAAATATATACTTGTATTATTGTATTGCTGATAGGAGGATGCCCCTCGACCCCTAGTATGACAATGACGGAGAAAATAAATGGGGGTACCCCTTAACTGGGCGCCCGAAACTGAAAAAAAAAATAATGCCTTTCCTTTTTAGATAATTTTGCATAATTTGAACTATTTTTCATGACAAACAGATTCAGCAAATAATCTAAAAGTTTGCACATAATTTATTGGTCTAAATCTTTATCAAATGGTACAAAAATTTCGGAAAAGAATGTTTCCAGTCCGGTCACGTCAAATAGCCTCATTGGAGTTTCTTTTATACCAATTGTATCACAGTTTGGGGACCTTTCAGTTGAAAATGTGTCCGAGTTAAATCGTATACATATACATGCACCGTGCGTTAACTGGAGTGCAGGTATTAGTTACCCGCACTCCAGAGTATGCCCATTGATTGGCTCTTTTTTGCTGGGGTTTACTTATTGTGACTGAAGAGAAAGGGAAAGCGACAGAAATGTCATATTTAGATGCTCGTTCATTGGTTACTTTTCTCCGGTGTTTCATATTGTGACAACAGGGAACGTGTTTTTATGTTCGACTATGATACAAACGAGAAAGAACATCAAAACACTCGGCAATCTGATTAGTACTCGGGGGGCTACGCCCCCTCGTACAAATCAGATAGCCTCGTGTTTCGATGCTCTTTCTCTTACATGGACCATTGAATTGAAAATAATTAATGAAATCAACTTATACAGAACCGCTTTTGATTATTTATGTCATACTGTAAAGATTCAACATTAAGAACTTCATTCGAATGTTATCAATAATTGTTTTATAATTCTAAAGGGCAGTACCATTTCAATTCCTTTAAATATATTTAAGGAACGTGTTGCCCGGATGTTCTCAAGCAAGTCATGTTACCTATTGTCCCAAGAAGCGTTTGTATTCAACCTGATCACCTAGGAAACCAGGTGACTGACGAAATGTTCTGTGCCGGATATGAACAGGGTGGTCAAGACGCTTGCCAGGTGAGATTTACTCATTTGTATAACTGGGGCACGTTATTAAACTGAGTTCATTAAACTAAAACAGAATGAAGTTTTAATGTCTCCAAATTCTAAATAAATCACCATGCTATATCAAAATATTGAGTTCTGCTTCAAACGGTGCCATGGGGCTTGAAACAAAGCTTGCACTAACCATCGCACTCTATGGACAGACTCAAACAAACCGACATTGCAATATTGTCAGTTATTTTGCCATGTTGGGCGATCTTTTATGTTTACATTATTTTTATTTTTAAGATTCACCTCAAAAGCTTGAATACTTATTAAATATTTGAAGTGATAATACATGTTGATATTGATAATTTAATTAATTCCAATTCGTTATGAGCTTCGCCAATGTATCACATTAATAATAAAATTAATGTAAATTATAAACTAAATTTATATATCCTTCTCAGAGACTACTTAAGGTGACAACAGACCCTTTCCGTGGTACTCACATAAATGTCATTTAAACCAAGTTATTTTAGTAATAATTGTTATTCATTTAATCTTTGTGCATTAAATGTCGTTGATCATCATAAAAAATAACATATTTGAAAAAAAATGCCTTTGTAAATGATTGATTTTGAATAAAAATCCTAAAATTTTAAATCGTCATATCAAAGTCATTTTTTATTTTTTTGTCATCAAACTTTTGGAAAATAACCATACTTATATTATCTGGGGAACTGTGTCTCAAATTTTTTATATCTTTTCTCAAAAAAATATATCGTAACGTCAAACAAAATATGCGACTTTTTTCAACATACATATTACGTAATTAAAGATAATTAAGTCGCTGATTGAGCAAACAAAAATCCCTGACACGGTTCCCTCCGTAAATGAATTTCCTTTCATGTGCTTTAAACCGCATGTTAATTGCTTGATTATTAAAAAAGTTATGCCGATTCAAAGTTAGTCCGACTCGCATCAAACGAAGTGTCATAAATCGGTTGTTCTCTCTCGGATCCCTACGTTTCACGCTAAATAATTGCATAATACACAAATATCGCACAAGTTGCGGTAACATACTCTAACAACATTTTATGACCCAGTGACATCTGACCAATTAAAAAGCTGCTGATTAATATCAGTTTATAGCCGAAATTTCTTCAATTCTTAACATGATTTACTGTTCGTCTGGTATCTGTCGCACATGTCACGTGACTATCGGTAAAATTTGAGGCACTCAGTGGGGGCAAATGGAACGCATTTGCGCACCGCTAGCGGGGTATTTAATTGTTTCCTACGAGTATTTGAAGTTTATTATTATTATCATCAGCATTATTATTGTATTATACCAGTGTCACTCTGCCTGTGTATTCGTGTATGAAATTCCGTTAAAATATAAAATAAAATAACAAAAAACTGAGCTTCTGACAGTCTTTTAAAGTCCATGGTAGATGTACAAATAAGAACGGGATAGTATATATTTTTTCCACCAAATTGATAATGCTTCACATATTTTAATAGAAATAAAAGGCATTACTCGATCATTATGATGTGGCCTTCTTGACTTCTATTATCATGAATATCGTCTATGCACGGCATAGAGATCCAGTTTCTACCGGGATAGACAATAAATTTCATACTTTGTCCCAGATTTATTAGTACTGTGTCGGATTTACTGGCGAATAATTTATTTTCACTAAGAATATATTTTAATATCTTTTTTTATTCATAGAGAAATAATCATCCTGAGACAATCTAAAATGGTTTAGAAATATGTCAGGGACACCTTACCACAAGTCATATATAAGCGTTCACATAAAAAATGTTGTCTGTTTTTGTTGTTGTTTTACTTCACATTGTTAGAAAACGAGGTTGAATGTAAAGTAAGCCCTTGAATCCGTACAAAAGTCTATCAACTCAATGTTATATATATCAGATTAACGGGATAGACAAATTATTTTCACACATTATGGATATTTTAGCAACTACATTTTTAATCAACCCCGTGGTCGTGCGATTTGCCGCTATGCTTAATTATTTATGTTTCATACATTATGTTACGTACATTGGCCGACAATTTCTTAATTCATAAAAAAGGCTAACTGTTGAGATATTCATAAAAGATGTACGGTAGATGAACGATACATGTATTACGAGAAGTATGGACCAGTATGGACCTGTAATTCACGGATATATGGAACTACCGATTTCCCTCATTGATGCCTCAACAGGGGGCGGAGCGTTATCGATAATCGACAGGTTACGCGAATAGCAGATACAAATAGTATAGGTACCGTTTTAAATCGTTTAAAAACACATTTTTTGGACTAACTGCTTCCAAAATTAAATCACGAATGTGTTCAGAAAAGCTTGATAAATCTACTTAGCAAAAAATCTCATTTTAGGTATTTTCAGTGATAATTGACTCCGTTGTCACCTTAAAGCAGGAAACGTCCGTGGCCGAGTGGTGAAGGTAGTTGACTTTAAACCACTTGTTCCTCACCGCTGTAGGTTCGAATCGTGCCGGGGACTTTTGATTTTATGTCAGGAAGCTTTCCAGCTAGCTTATGGATCGTCGTTGCCTGCTCGTGCCTGAAACATATGCACGGAGGGGAACTTGAGGTATTCCTCCACCAGTTAAGTTGGAAACTCGAATCTCGCCATATGACCTGTATGGTGTTGATGAGATGATACCCACTCCCCCACTCAAAAAAGAAAAGAAAAGAATAGTAATTACTATAATATTAAAAAAACAGAAGTGTTCTTAATAATACGGCGCGATGATTTTAGATCTTAATAGTTTAACTGTTTTGCAGGGTGACAGTGGGGGACCTTTCGTTGTAAAAGAGGCAAATGTTTGGCATATTCACGGAATAACATCATTTGCGTCCCTTTGTGCAGGTAATTTTCATTGTTTATAACATTGTAAAAACAAAACAAAAAAACAGGCGTCGGTGTAGTGGGGTGTGGCGGGTGCTGGAATTTTTTGTTGAAGGTTTTGGGAAGATTTAGGCCGTTTTGACAACGTTTTGTACCTTTAGATTTACAACTGAAATGTCAATAATAAAAATATAAGATTTTGCTTAATTAGATATATTTTTATTATAATTATAAAACAACTCATTAAGACCCACTGTTCTGTTTTCATTTTCAGCACCAAAATCTCCAGGTGTTTATACGAAAGTGTTCAGTTACATCAGTTGGATCAGAGAGAAGATTGCAGCTAATTTTTGAAATGAAACTAGTTTACATTGCATAAACCATTTTGACATAAATGTACTTAATACTTTATCTTAATTAAATTGCCCGCCCAATCGGAACATCTCGGCTATTATCGATAATAACCTCGGAGTTAATGCGGATTGAAAGTAGTTCTACCACGTGGTCTAGATGTTTAAAAAACAGAGTGTCCAGTCAATTGATTTATACGATTGTACATGTTTGACATACAAATTTCGATTTTGCTAAAATTATGACTGAACATATGTCTGACAATCACAATCAATTCAAAAATGCCACTAATGTACAATTATAATCAAATCCAAATTAATGTAAACAGGTAGACATTTTGTACTTTATGATTCTTTAACCATAATAATAAATATGTAATGTGCTATTTACGGTTTTATCTGTAATTTCATTTACTTAAGGTGGACTTATACTCGATTCATTGTTATAAATTTTGTTTTCAAGTCCTAGCATTAAAGATATATGAGCCGCGTCACGACAAAACCAACGTAATGTCTGATCAGGATCCATGCTGTTGGCTTACAAACCCTATTACAAGTAGAGAAACTGATAGCTAACAGCATAAGTCCTGATCATATTATGTTTGAAAATATTGATGATTTTGCTACACTGTCTTTTTGTAAATATAAATTCAATATGTTTTGACTTAACACAGTAGGTATTTATGTTTTAAACTCTACACACTAGGAGGCTGCAATGTCAATATATAATAGTGTCATTAAAATAAACTGGCAGTTTTTTTAAGAAAAGATAGTTATAATGCAAACAAATGTTTGTATACGGCCATATGAAAATAAAAAAAATTAAACAACGAATTCGTTACACAGCAAACTTCGAGAAAACTTCATAAATGTACAGTAGCTGTGTAAATAAGCTACATAAAACATGATTATCAAAAGCTACGTTACTTCAAGACGTTTTTGATGAATTCTGTTCTGTTAATAGACAAAATGAATATATCTTTTTTAACAGTAACACGTAGGTTTTATAAATATAAGTGTGGGTCAATTTAGATGCACCCCATGCCGCCGGTCTAAACAGAAACTTAAAAATGGATGTAAAGTGAATGAAATAGTTAGTTATACACCACTAGGCAACAAATAGCAAGAATCTTTGGCATCCAATTACCATTTTCAAACGTGATTTGAAAATGAGAAAGATCTGAGCTAGATGGATTCCACTAACATCAATATAATTATAATGAATGCCTTTCCATTAAACTTAGATTTTGATATATACGTATTCTTACTTATTTTCGATAAAGTAGGTATTCCATTCAAGCTTTAAATACCTTTATCTTCTGTAATACATAAATCATTTCAAATAAAGTTATAAATTGTCAATCCAGTCCTCAGAATCATTACACGTGATCATGAGTTTATTTCCTTGACAACTATATTTGGAAAATTGTATCCTCTCTTTGAACTAGTTCAACATTTGTCTTTTGTTTTAATTATAATGCAATAAATTTACCAATCTGACATGACAGCTTTTGTTTACGTGTAACAGTGATATATAACAATTAACAAAGTTTTTTTTGGACAACTTTATTTCTGGCAATCTAAAGTGATACAACAGAAACAACACAGTATGGTTATTATTTCCTAATATTTCTATATGCGATGTCTATCGTAGAATAAATACTGCATTTTCTTTAATAAAGAATTTATTATGAAAACTGAAGATTTTTCTTTTTTTTAAACAATCATTGTCTCTAAAGTTGGCATTACACCCCGTCCGTGCCTTGTCCTTGTGCCCTGTCCTGTTTTTGTTTGGTGTTTGCTGGGCAGCCTGATGGTGTTCCAATGTGACTGGTTTGTGTTTGGAATGCGTTCATTGGATGCCGCCTTTACAATGTCATGTTAATCTTGTTTTTTTTAAGGTAAATGAGAAACAATAAGTCTTCTTTCGCAGGTTTTCTATTTTATCACTTCAAACTGCTTTCGTTTTGTCCATTTCTTCTGTCCATCTGCAGAATGTATTTAATGATAACACATAAACGTAAAATTATATAAAGCATATCATCTTGGTCTATAAAATTGCAAAAACAATGTTATATAGAACTGGTTATATTCTGTTTATATAGCTGTATTTAACTATAGCATGACTAAAAGTGATAAGTCTAGCCAAGCCATCCTGAACATTTGTGTATTAGCATATTAGCATAGAGCGTTAAAGACTGCTAATATACTTTAAATATTGACTTGATACATGTATATCCTGAAACATCGATAAATCACGGTTTCAAAAACTGAAAAAGTGGTTTTTGACCATAACAACATGAAGCATATTAAGTGTTAAATTGGTGATATGTACTATCTTAGGATGCCATACAATCTATCACTAGTATTAATTACGCATGAAATCTTGAAAACTAATTACAGATATGGAATAATTTGTATAAAAAGTTTCATTACTAATAGACAAGCACTTCACAAAGGTGCATATATGTTGTTACGTCTCTTAGAGTAATTCTGACATATTGAGCTTCCACAGGATGAAATGCAATGAATTCATCGGGGCCTATTGGACCAGGTTGGTATGCTACTACTGTCCAATCACCGTAAGTTATTGCTACAGATACCTCAACATTTTGCGCTCTTTCCACTACAATAAGAAATTGTACTTAAACCCAGAGCAGTGGCAAAAACAATACATTGTATAGCAATGACATTTAGGCTATCTTGAGAAGTTTATGGGAACTTTGGTATAAGCATTCAAGCGACCTTCGACTTCGGACTCTTTAAAACAAATAATTATGGTGTTTCATAAGTGAAGTTGGTATGATCGACAATATTTTTGCTTTTTATCAATAATGATTTAGTTGGACAATTGAATAACATTCATAGCACATATGAACATGTTAAATAATCAGTGAAAGCTACCTACCACAGCAGTCCAGCCTGTTCTGAATGAAAACGTGACCTAAGCAATATACATCAAGAAGGTTGACTTCCCACCAGGGGTTTAATTGGTATTGTGTATGGAAACAATGGTTGCTACTTTGAATGCCATCCCCGTTATCACCATCATTGCCTTTGTCTGCGCTCTCGTGTGCGAGATAAGTGCTGCTTTGAGCCGAAGGTTTTTCAAGAGCCCGGTTGACGTAAGCTGAAGCAAACAAATGCCATTACACTTAATTGATATTAATGACCTTTCAATGATGCTGGATGAAAGTTTTGTCAATTTATTTATATATTCATTACTTTTTTAAAAGATTCAAAAAAGGTCTTATAACTACATGTCTAGCTTTCAAACAAATTAAAATTCTTAAGTGATAATTAATATTGATCTATCAATGATGCTGGCTTAAAGTTTTGTTAATTTATTTGTGTATTCATTATTCTTTAAACGATACAAAAAGGTCTTGTAACTACATGTCTAGCTTTCAAATAAATTAGAATTCTTAAGTGATAATTAATATTGATCTATCAATGATGCTGGCTTATAGTTTTGTAAATTTATTTATCTATTTATTATTCTCAAGTTATACAAAAAGGTCTTGTAACTACATGTCTAGCTTTCAAATAAATTAGAATTCTTAAGTGATAATTAATATTGATCTATTCAATGATGCTGGATTAAAGTTTTGTTAATTTATTTGTGTATTCATTATTCTTTAAAGGATACAAAAAAGATCTTGTAACTACAATGTGCATGTCTTGCTTTCAAACAAATTACTATTCTTAAAGTTCTTGTAACACAAAATTTTTATGGTTTTATATTAAATAAATTATGATCAAATGAAGATTTATCAACATTGTAAGTTCTAACAAGCATTATTTGTAAAGTTATCACCGAATTTACATTTTCAGGGAGGTAATTGGAAATTAATTTTCTCTAAAGTCTAAAACAAATTTTCAATATGAAATGAATGCATATATTTTAATGATTGCATATAATGTTGAAAAAATATTTGCAGCACATATTTTACATATTCTTGGATGTTTGGAAATTATTTTAGAAGCATAATTATATACATATATAAAATTTCACTTAAGGGAGGTAATAACCTTAATTACAACAGTGATAATTAATATTGATCTTTCTTCAATGATGCTGAATGGTAGCTTTGTTAATTTAATTATCTATTCATTTCACTTTAAACGATACAACTACATGTTTAGCTTTCAAAGAAATTAATATTCTTGAAGAAATCGTTGTTTTTCAAGATAAAAAAAACACTCGAGTATGCATTATTTACGTAATTGTCGATGGCAAGTCTCGCAGAATTGTCCAGTATATTGTCCTGTACAAGTACATGTTACATGATTTATTTCATCGATGCATGTCCCGTTGTTCAAACATGGCAAAGATACACATTCATCAATATCTGTTAAACAACACAATTGAATGGTAAGATATTGTAATTGTAATTATATTTCAAAACAAATGTATCTTGAAAAGGTATAATTACTCATGTATTAATAGTATTAGTATGTTGTATACGATTAAAAGCAATTTGTCAGAATTTGTTCGAGAAGTGTGAAAAGTTATCATACACTTCTAAGAAAAGAATAAGAAGGTGCATTCCTTAATATTGCCTATCTCTTAAAGAAAATTACCTGATAATGGTAGCTGAAGGTACAGTACAGTATTTGGTTTCTTTCAAGAATGTTTCCATGTATTTGTTTGGTTGGGGGGGGGGGAATTTAATCAGTGACATTGACTTTATCAGAGTTAAATCCCATTTCAAACGGACATTAGAATTATTAGGTTACATATTATGAGCACCTTTAATTGTTTTTTTTTATCAATAATGATGTAAAGGTTTCTTTGATGTGATCGTATCTATAAACCGAGACATTTTATGCCCAAAAAACACATCAAAAGTACAAGTAGTCTTTAGGCAGCTTATTCTTAGAGCACAAATATCTGGAGAAGGAGAAACCCCTTATCGACAAAAACAATCAAATGGGCCAAATCAAATCTGTAGACTAAGTTTCAGTATACGTGTTCATTAGAAAATTTAAAATCACACTTTTAACAATGGCTTAAGCAGTTTTAAAAGATCAACAAAATCAAAAATAAAAATAAATGATCCTTAACGACTCCAGAAAAATATAACAACACGGGGCAACCATCACAGCTGCCACAAAACACTAAAAAAGACAGCTGCAAGATTAACGATTATTTAATTAAAATTAACTAATCTGTCAATAATTTCTTACTAATAATCGTCTATGATTTAACCGAAAATTTAAATACATTTAAATACAAGTTTGACCTGAAACTCATTTCAAATTAAAAACAAACCACGTATCAACGTTTACAAAAGAAACGACAAAATGCTATCACACAGAGCCACCGCAAACGTATACAATCAGACATTCTGGGGACTTGTGAACAAGAAATTTTGACTCTGGT